GTGTTGCATTCTGTTGTTTTTAAATGTGTTTTTAGTACTGATTGCTTTGTCCATTTTTAATAAAAAAAATACTTGCTTATTCATCTTCTGATATTTGCACATTGACTGTGTTTAGCTTTAAAATATTGTCTTTTTAACTGTTGTAAGCTGCCTCGGGTCCTTTTAAGGAGAAAGGTGGGTTAAAACATTGCAAACCAACCAATTTCCCCCGACTAAGTGCTGAAACAGACTTCAGAAAAGGACGACGCTTCAGGATGCAATGATACAGATTTCTAAAAATCAAAACATTGTACGATTATAACCTGCCACAGTTTGCAATGAAAGAGAGCAAAATGCGGCCCAAAATTCATGGTGCCAACCTATGGACGTAGTCAATGTATTTTATTTATTAATTATTCGATTTATACCCCGCCTCTCTAGACAGAGTCTACTCGCAAGCCATTGCCATTCACAGGACAGACGGCTGGCACCAGTTTTAGTGAACCTCTTGACAGATTAAGATTCCAATCCTACGCATGCGGATCTGGATTAAATCTCAATGAACACAGTGGGACTTCCTCCTGAGTAAATGCATACAACCCTCGACCTCAACGCCAGGGCAAATAAAAATCAAGTCTTTCTTAATCACGTCGATTTAAATCAAATCAATTGATTTTTTTAAACTTTAAGTCACACGAAGAATCTGGGCTTTTAAAAGTTTAATTCATGATTTAAATGAAATCTGCCCTATTCAAACCTTCTAGCTTTCCTGCTTCTTGGACTACAACTCCCATAATCCCAAGCAAGCCTGCGAAAAGAGGAAGTCGTGCAAAAGGTTTATGGTGGGGCTGACGATCGAGGGCTAGAACTAATCCCCACTTTACATCAACATAACATCGCGAGAAGACTGCTTCATGGGCTAATCTCTCCTCTTGTCTGGTCTACCTCACAGGATCGATGTGAGTAGGTGGGGAATTTGCTACGTCCAGCCCTTTCAACAGCTGGCCAGACATGAATGTAAATCACACACAAACGACATTCCTCATCCCTCTTTGTTCACGCTGTGTCTCTTAAGGCCAGTGGTCGGCTTTTCTCAATTTTATTGCCATGTAAAACACTCCAAGAGCCTTCAACCTCGACAGCATGGTATAACTTATTTTATTTATTGATTTAGAATATTTTTATCCCACCTTTCTCTTTAAAAGGACCTAAATGCCATAATGTTTCTTGTTGTTGTAGCACAAGTGCTCTTTTTAAAGAGTTGCTTTTTTATTTTATTTATTTATTTGTTTGTTTGTTTGTTTATCTGATTTGATTTATATCCTGCCCATCTGGTCTATACGATCACTCTAGGCAACTTCCAACATTTTGTGAGAAGCTTTTAGATCCGGCACACCGCACCGTTCTGTACTCCAGAGAATCAAAATAGGAATGAAACTCTTTCTACGGTTTGTCACGTCCGATTCTTTGCAGGTATTTCATGTTTTTTTACATTTGAGGCACACGGGGTGGGAAATAACAACGGTGTTCCTTTCAACGCCACTCACTGTAAAATATGGCAATAATGACTGGTATAAAGGGACGAACCTAGACAGCATCTTAAAAAGCAGAGACCTCACCTTGGCGACAAAAGTCCGCATAGTCAAAGCTATGGTTTTTCCAGTAGCGATGTATGGAAGCGAGAGCTGGACCATAAAGAAGGCTGACCGCTGAAGAACGGATGATTTTGAATTGTGGTGCTGGAGGAGACTCTTGAGAGTCCCCTGGACTGCAAGGAGAACAAACTTATCCGTTCTGAAGGAAATCAACCCTGAGTGGTCAATGGAAGGACAAATCCTGAAGCTGAGACTCCAATACTTTGGCCATCTCATGAGAAGAGGAGACTCCCTGGAAAAGACCCTGATGTTGGGAAAGTGTGAAGGCAAGAGGAGAAGGGGACGACAGAGGACGAGATGGCTGGACAGGGTCACTGAAGTGACCAACATGAATTTGACCCAACTCCAGGAGGCTCTGGAAGACAGGAAGGCCTGGTGTGCTCTGGTCCATGGGGTCACGAAGAGTCGGACACGACTTAATGACCAAACAACAAAAATAAATGGCATTAACAACACAAAGATGACATACAGCCACAAAGGGTCGCTCAACGGCCGTCATCCCACACTCCCAACGCACAGTCTACTTGCGGCTGTATCAACGTTCCCGCATGACAGACTGTCAACAGCGGATCATCTATAGCTGCCATAAATGGACTTTCGGGGTAACCCATTATAGGGGAGAAACGATCTTCCCACCAACCCGTCTCGCTGCCAGAGAAGCCAGGAGTAGTGTGTACTGTACCAAATCAACCTTTCAGAATTCATCATCTGCTTTACATACTTAAATGAGAGCTCACGTTCCAGATTTTCTCATGAACAGCCGTTTAGAAAACCGACAGCAGTTTACCAAACACGACATGCACAACGATTATAAAATGCACACCGATTATAAAATGCACACCGATTATAAAACAATGCACACCGATTATAAAATTAGACAGCCAGGTAGCTCATGGGATTTGGAAGGAACAGCCTTAAATAATAAAGTTAAGACCCCCAAAAAAGTAAAAGGTTTTTCAAACTGATTTGATGTCTCAGTGAGCTGTTTTTTTTTTTTTAATTTCATTTTTAAACAGTGACCAGAAATACAAAGCAAAGCCTGCACCCATGTAAACTAGTGGGAAAACATGGTTCCCAAGGTTTGTGATAGGGGAAAAAACTCTGCACATGCTCTGGGGAATGACTATGATTGAGATCCGAGGCTCAGAACAGGCTGAACTTTTTGTTACTGTCAGGTTATTGATTGCCACCGTTCTTTTCGCCGTATAAGACTCCAAAAAGCAGATTTCCAAGATCCAGCAGAATGAAACATGGGGAAAGCAGACCATTAAGGGAAAATCTGTAAATGTATTAAGTAGAGTCTTATCCTGGATAAAAAATGACCCACTAGGACTTAGGAGACCCGGGTTCGAATCCCTCCAACGTGGGGGGGGGGGAAAATCGCAAAGGAAAGCCCAATTTTTTTTTTTATCCTCCCCATACAACCCTCTTTGAGGGCTGCCGCCACAAGTCGGAAGCAAACTCGGCGGAACATATCACAACAACGCATCTGGCAGGCACAAGGAGCGTGCGGGGCTGGGGATCAGTAGCCCCCACTTCTTCCCCCCCCTCCAGATCCCCACACCCGAGTTTCAGCACCGATCTGACCCAGCGCTTGACAACATGACCGTTTCCTACCATGTCCAAAAAACAACAACTCATATTTATATAAATAAAGTTTTTTTAAAGAT